TTTCTCAGAATGAATCCAATGTTTGGGATGTCTGGATTATGATTTATCTTGTCTAGGTGGTGCAGTGGAATCTAATTTACATGCTGCGTCTTTTGCTCTTTGCTTAAATCATCCAGGAGTGACTAAAGTCATCAGACATACAACATGTTCCTTGCCATGACTTAATCTAACTCAAATTTCACCAACAGTTTTTCTGAGCATATGAGTGAATAAAACTGAGTGCCCTGTCTCCAGGACTATCTGGGGGAACTGGTTCAGAATTAAGTAACAACTAAGCAAGATAAAGGTACCAATAATAGATGTATTGCAAAAGAGAAACGTGATCAAAGAGGAGAGGGTCATTCTAACTAGGTTGAGGGGCTGATGAGGTAGCAAGTGGAGGAACTTGAGACTTGAGCAAGATTTGAAGCGGGTGTAAGATATCACTAGGTGAGGAAAGAGGATGAGAGCCTTAGAGGGCCAGGCTCCAGGGCCAGCAAAGGGCAGGAGAGTGTTGGGGACTGAGAAGTGATGAGGAGACTGTAGTTCTCAGAAAACAGTGACGCAAGGAAAGCAGTTTTGCAAGTTAAAGCCTTCTGTGTTGTTTCACTGCCTCTTACCTCATCTCTCTACTATCTCTCCTCCTCAACACAACTAGATTGCTCCTTTAAGAATACTTTCAATTATCTCGCTCCACAGCAAAAATATTCACTGACCTCCCCCTTCACATAGTGGAATGTTTTCTGGGGCATGAACTCAAGAACCTCCTCAAAATGATCAGAATAGTTCCTTTGAACCATCATTCCTACTAATCTCCAACTGTAAAACTACCTCATCAAAAATAAATCTGTCCTGGGGCCAGCCCGGTGGCACAGCCATTGTTAGCACGTTCTGCTTCAGCAGCCTGGGGTTCACCGGTTCCGATCCTGGGCTCAGACCTATACACCACTTATCAAGTCATGCTGTGGCAGGCATCCCACATATAAAGTAGAGGAAGATGGGCATGGATGTTAGCTCAGGGCCAATCTTCCTCAGCAAAAAGAAGAGGATTGGCAGCAGATGTTAGCTTAGGGCTAATCTTCCTCAAAAGAAAAAATAAATAAATAAAAATAAATAAGTAAATCTGGTCACTATCTTCAATCTGCTTTGATTTGCATGCTGGTCTGCCTTTGATTTCACATGTCTACAGCCACTGCATGTCTACATGATTTTACATGTCTACCCCCCAACTACATCACGTCCTTAACCACCTGTTTCAAGACACATAGCAAGTCCTATTTCCTCCAAAATGTTCCCCAAATCCCTGAGGAATTATTTCCTCTTCAAAATTCGCTACAGTAAAAAAAGTACAGTATTAAACTATAAACAACTTAAATAACAGAAAACAGAGAATATGGAGCAAGAAAAAAATCACAAATAAAAGTAAAAGTGAAATCTTCAGGGCTGAAGAGCATAAGTTATCAGATCAGAAGTATTTCCTTCTTTCCAAGTAAAATGTATAAAAACAAATTGCTCCGGTATATATCATTTTGAAATTTCTGAACAGCACGGATGAAAAGCATATTCTAAAATTTTCTAGGGACAAAAGTCACTGACAAATAGCAGAAGTGATCAGAAAGCCTGCATACTTGAAGGCTGTGGAAGAAGGCCTTCAAATTCTAAGAGAGGGGGCCGGCTCCGTGGCCGAGTGGTTAAGTTCGCAGGCTCCACTGCGGCGGCCCAGGATTCGGATCCTGGGCACAGACATGGCACCACTCGTCAGGCCACGTTGAGGCAGCGTCCCACATCCCACAACTAGAAGGACCTGCAACTAAGATATACAGCTGTGTACAGGAGGGGGTTGGGGAGATAAAGCAGATTAAAAAAGAAAAAGATTGGCAACAGTTGTTAGCCCAGGTGCCAATCTTTAAAAAAAAAAAAAAAATTCTAAGAGAAAATAATTTTCAACCAAAGATTCAATACCCAGGAAAGTATCAACCTATTGGGTAATATAAATAAATAAATCATTCTCAGTCATGAGTTAATATAGCTTAACCTACTTTGAGAGCCCAGGAAATGACTAGCATTATATACTGTTGTCCAATAAGCTGCAGAGCTCTAACTCCATTTTACAAGTAATTAAGCAATTTTCTGCCCTTCCTAAAAGACTGTTTTATTCACCAATGATAGAAATGATTCTATAGATAAACAAGTCTCCACTTATTGGTGGAACCAGTGTTTAAGCCAAGATTCTCAGGAGGCTATAGAAAGAATCTTCTCCTTCTGACAAAATCTTCCTGAAGTTGCCTTCTCTTTTACAAAGTGGTTTCATCTGTCCACAAGAGTTACAAGGAAAAAGATTTTAAATAGAATGATATAACTATGAGCATTGATAAATCTAACAGTTTTTGAAGCTTAATAAATTATTTTGATCTTTTAAAATTATTTTGCATGAACCAAGATTCTATGTTCAAAGAAGTTAATTATTTTAAACAACACAGCAGATGTGATACTCAAGATAAGAATGGAGAGCATTGCTCACTCCTGAGAAATATATGTATATCTTTATAACACACGCGCTTATACCAGATGTCCTATTGTTGAGGTTAAAGTGATGTCATCATTTTTAACACCGTATTTTTAAAATTTCTCTATTCCTTTAAGCAATATTTCAAACGAACACAAAATTTCCTTCTCTGTAAAGTGAATAGCCAAGTGTATTAAGTCTAACAATTACATAGATTATATAACTAGAATATTGATTTCCTAATCTGTTTCTTTGTTTTCAAATATTCCTTGTTCTCTCCTTATGCTATAGTCTCCTTGATCACACCTCACAGCAATTAGAGAACCTTTTTTTTTCATATTAGGACATTTTTTAAATGATTTCCAGCCCTAATTGTTTTTTTGAAGGGTTAGGAAGAAGTAATGGAGAAGGGACATTAAAAATATGATACCAACATTCATGAAAATGTTCCATTGTTCTAGAATATTATTTTTAGTCATAGGAGAGAAGAACAAAGCAATAATACAATAATAAAAAAAAGATTTCACCATACACAGAAAACAAATAAAAGTAGGCTATTTGTGAGTATAAAAGCCATCTCATTTTAAACATAAGAAAAGAAAAAGAAAATAAATATTAAATTCCAAGTTTCTGAAGTATAATTACCATAATAAATTTGGGAACCATTGCCCTAAAGAAACCCAAGTGGTCAGAGACCAAATTAAATATATTTTATGCTATTTAAAATAAAACTAGTTTCTATTTCTAGTTGAACTCATACACCAAATAAAACAGCATATTAAAATTGCAAAAAGGGGAGGAATTGTATGTAGCATTTTATGATTTCCTATTTCTAGAACATATGTCCTAGACCCCCAACTTTTATACAACGCAGATTTTCCATTCCTCTCTTTAAATTAAACCCTTGGGATTACTCAAGCATGACTGATACACTTAGATACCATCAGGCATTCAATACACACTATGTGCCTTTGATTTACCTGACAAGTGACAACAAGGCTGTGTTGAGTTAACCTCAGACACTATCACTAAATGAATATTTGCAGGACCTGCCTGTGGTTATTGTCATACCAGTGCAGAACTCTGGTTCAATATCCTGTCTGGGAAGTAGCCTCTACCGGATGCTTCCAAAGAAGGGCAAAACCACCCATAATGCAATTGGATGGATATGCAATTCTATACCCCTGAGGGAAAACACTTCATCCTGGCCCCAGGTGGTGAGTCGCTCATACTCTGTTCGTATTCCTATGAGGACCGGTCTCTTCAAATAATACATTTTTAAAGGACTTTTTTAGTAGTACAAACTTCACATTTGAAAACTAATAATATATCAGTGATAATAAGTCACTGCAATGGGAAATCTTAAATTTGTCAGAATGCATTGTTTTTCCCCATTTTTCACAAAAAGGGATTATTTTATTTAAATGTGATGTGAAACACATCCTCTTCCTATATTTTCTTCATTTCTTCATATCGTATATAAAATAATTTGATAAACTATGTAGTAGAAATAAAATGGATCTATGTGTAAATTGACAGGCTGGATATACAACTGAACAATGGCCGAACAATATAAATAAAATAGAACAGAACTCTAACCCCTACCTCTGTAGCAACCAGCTTGGGAAGCCAAACAACTTCTGCAGCAACCAGGCCAGGAAGCCCAATGCAGCAATCATCCTGAAATGATTGACGTGGCCAAAGACTGCCAGCCTCCCTATTTCTCCCCTTTCCTTTGCCTGCTTCCAATTCAGGATCAACCTGAGAAAGCCAAATGTGCTCCCCAAACCAGTCACATAAGGTGTCCCACTTTTAGTTAGCCCGCCTCCTGCTTCCCCCTGAAACAACCTTCGATTAGAGCTTACCTGAGGCTGTTTCTTTTTTCATCAGAAAGTTCCCCACTCCCCTGACTGCCTTTGAGGATCTGCGGAATGGGATAGTGGCTGACTCCCTAGCTAGAGCAAGCTCTGAATAAATAGCCTTTGTTTGTCCTCATTTGGGTAATATGCATCTATTTTCATACAAGTTGATGTTCTTAAAATGTGTACGTGAATTTTTAAGATTTTAGATTCAAATTTGCTTTGAGATACACTTTAAACTATTTCAAGTGATTATATCTGAGGAATGGATTAGACGTTATAGGTAACTTTCATCTTTTGCTATTTACGCATACACACACACATATACGTATTTATGTATTTTTACTTTGTGTACTTGAGTAGCATTTCAAACTGATACCAAAATTATTTTAAATAGGAAATAAGCTTTGTTTCCATTATAGAACTAAATTTTATTTCCTTTAAAGAGCTAAGACAAATCACATATTCAAAGGAATTATCACAAATAGATAAACAATAGTTTTATAGACACTAAATGACTACTAACAAGAAAATAAAACTTAAAACAAAAGAATTTACTAGAATATCCCCTACTACACTGATGACTTTGAAAACTGAGTAACTTCTTCAGCTTCACTAAATTTATTCTTCTTTTTCTTTGTTTGCTTTTCCCTTAGAACTTCTTCCTCCTCTCCCCCCACCCCACCCCAGCTACGTGGAGAAATGGCCACAGCTGCTTCTCTTTTGTCTGCCAGGGGCGCCAGGCATATCTCTTCTCACACATGCTTGAGTGACTGCCAGCCATCTCCCTGTAAGAAGGTCTGCATAGGGAAATAAGCACTACTGAACGGAGACCAATTATTAGATGGCACTGTTGCGATTCCAGCCAAGCAAGAGAGAAGCAGTGCTGTAAGACAGAAGAAAATAATCAAGAAATTCATTTTGGACCCTCGTGGTTGTGTCTCCAAACTACAAGCAGTGGTTTAGAACAGGCGGAGTAGGATAAGAGCAATGATGGCAAGAACTGAAGGCTGGGGACAGGAGCGTCACCAAGGGAGAAAGGAGTGAAGAGGAAAACAGTGCAAACTCCTGAAGATCCAGTTGGAAGGAAGAGAAATCAGATGAATTATAATCAACCATTTTCACTGCATTTCCAAGAATGAAAAATTAAGATAATAAATAGACAAATTTACAACCACAGAATATCATGTTTAAAAGATTCTGTAGGAAAAAAGAAATATGATTTCATTAAAACATTGACTTTAAAATAGACATATTAAGATAGAAATATCAAACCAAATTATGAACATTAAAACAAACTATTTTTAGGAATAATTCTAGGTTGGGCCTTCAATTTTACATCAGTGATTTTATTTTGGAGTGATTTGGATTTTTTGTCTCTAGACCAGCACAAGTGGATTATTATCATTCAGTCTTTGAAAGGAGAAGATACAGTTTCCAGTCACTAATTTACAATATTGTTCTATCAGTATCTTCCATGAGAGGTGATTTAATAAATTTTTTCTCAATGTGAAAAGATCCAGGAGACCCTGTTGCATGTACTGGAAAATAAGTTTGTTGAGGATTTATTTATATATTTCTCATAATAACTTCCGAACTTGAGAAAATGTTTGTCATTTCAGCACAAAGGGCCAAAAGAGTGCCACATTATGAAAAGACTATCTTGGGAAAGAATGAATCTTAGAATCATATATTTATATGTTTGTCTTTCATTTTTAGATTTGATCACTTGAATTTTATTTTTATATGGTACCTAACAGGAGTACACATTCTTTTATTTCCCATTATTACAAGTAAAAGTGGATCACAATAAGAGGCTATTACAAGAATTTAATAGATTTTATACTTCTATTGAGCCAATAGGCATGCTCTATGATTCATGTAAGTTTAGGAGGTATTACACTTTTTACGTCTTTCATTCATAGTGTACAGTCTGCTTTACAAACATCTCTTTTATATTTACAGTGTTACTAAGGTACATTATGATTGGCTTCATATGGAAAAACGACTCAAAGAGTTTAAGTATTTTTATGGAAATATGCAGTTAGTAGGCGGTAATGTCTAAATAAGAACCCAAGTCTTGTAATTTCAAACTGAGTGCAATTTCCATTATGCTATTTGTGCTTCACCAGAAGGGGGCTTATCTGTGCCTGGTTCCCAGCTTTTTCTTAGTATGAAATATACAACTTTGCTGATTAGTTATAAGCAATCCTAGCATTTGCATAGCCTTCATTACTAATTAATATACTATAGAATACCTATTAAATACTGAAAACTATATTTGGTGATTTACAGCTATTCTCTAATGCTTACAATGATTTTAAAAGTTAGTTGATAGGAAAATTGAGATTCAGAGAGATGAAATAACATGTTTGAGGTCACACAGTTGTCAGAATTCATGGCCATGTCTGTTTAATTTTATGCTTCTTTCAGGATCTCCTGCTCTGTTGGAGACAGAACACTTTTTTATCTCTATGTGACTCTATTGTTAAGTCTTTTTACTTGGTCCCCCAAGGACCTACCAGTTGGTTAACATATTTAACCTGCCTGTTTCTCTAAGTTATTGGTTATATATACCCATTTTCTGGAAGAGAAACACGAGACACCTTGTCAACATAAACAGTATTGCAAGAGAGTTTTAAAAAAAGAAGTATTGCTAAAGGAAGAGATTAATAATAGCTAAAGCATTCTAGAGTTGAGCATGAGGCAAAAAAAAAAAAAAAAAAATGTGGCTGGGAGAGAGCTATTAACAATCTGTCTAGAGGCCCTTCATTGTGTGTTGTTTTTTATATCAAAATCAATCACTTCTTAGCAATAAGTTCTGAGTCACTTGACAGTAGTCTGATAAGATAAAGCTACCTCTAGTGCATTTCTGGTCCCAACCTGCAGACCAGAAACCACTCAGTGTCCCTCCCTGAGTCACTCTGTGAGTAGGGCACAGGAGGGTAAAGGGAAGTCACAGTTTTAGCCCCTGTGCTCTGAGGACAAACTCATACATTCTGGTTGTATCTTCAACTTCTCAATTAGGGAAGAAACTGTTAAATATGGTTTCAAAGATATACCAACTATGGAATACTATTTTTATAGATTGGAAAACAGATTTGATCTTGTATGTAGAAGTATCTTGGTCTTGGATGTAATGAAAATACTCCCAGTAGGTGGTTCCCAACTCAATTGTCATTTGTTTCCTGAAGTCATCTATTCCAAAAATAGTTTTCTTCCCACTTTTTAAATTTCCATAGTATTTCATAACTTTATCCTAAAATTTGTCAAACCGTACTGTCATGATTGATTTCTGTGCCCTCTCAGTTCATCCTCAGCCGTTACATGAATGTTCTCCTTGGCAGCAGCTCCGCAATATGTTATTCACTTTCATGATTCAAGTGCTGCCATGACTTCAGCCTTTGTAGGAGGCACTAGTCTTAGAAGATTTATTGAATGTCTGAGTCCAGTTACAAACAATTGTAGCATTTTCGTAACATCTTGAGAAGTGGTTAATTGATATCATCCCTGAGTCTAATGTAAAATCTGATAAATACTCCAATGTTGTTGAAAAATGTCTACCTTTAGTTACATGTAAGAAATCATTTGAATACTAAGGAGATGGAGAGGGGGACAATGCCATCTCTGGCTTCCTTCCAGAGATCACAAGAATGTATCAGGCAATTGGAAATTTTATAAACAGGAAAAGGTTTTATCTGATTCAAGTTAAGTGACTCTGGACTGAAAACTGTAAATTGCTCCGGTTTCCATTTAGGATCTTCCTATATCCTGGATCATGTGAGGCCAAGAATAGCACAATATGGACTGCTGGAAAATACTATTGTCATGATAATTAACAATACAAACAGGCTATGGGAAAAGATCTGGGCTGTGCATACTGGATCACACAAAAAGAGTGTTACCAAGGAGACACCATGGCTACCACAGAGATAAGTGGCTCAAGTAAAAGACAGGATACAGAAAAAGCTGGTCAGCCACAAGCAAGCACAGGGCAATGCTCTTAGCTGCTTTTTCGGTTGGTTGGTTGGTTAATTTTGGTTTTTATTTTGTTCTGCCTGCCTATTATTGCCTGTAACTATACGTGTGAAACAATGATTGTGCAGTCAGTGCCTTTTCATCAGCTATGCCATCTCTACTGAAGGACTTCATCTCAAATACAGTGAAAATTCTGAGCTTTTTAAAACATTCAGGTTATGCTGTACGGTACTGGTTTGAGGCATTCCACAAGAACATTTGAGATTGGCTCAGATGTAGATTTAACAGAAAACTGCAGAAAGTTATTTGAGTAGGAAAAGTGTCCCAAACGAAGGGTACATCCACTTTATTATGATAAATTACGTGATTTTATTGTTACTCATGTCACAATTTTTGTGTGATCTAAATGAACTCCTCAAAGATCTATTTAAAATATGGGTCAATTGACTTATTTTTCCAGTTAAACAGGATGTACTGATAGTATCATTTTTTTTTTTTTTTTTAGTATAAAGGCCATGCCCAACCTTGTCACATTATTATTTATCTATCTATGGTAGCAAAGAATGTGGGAGCAAATGCTGAGAGATTGGTAGATGTGTAGTGGACATGTATAGAAGTTATTTTCTGATTGTTTCAGTTCTCTCTGTAGGATGTAGAATAATTATCTGAGATTGAGGCTGAAGAGAAAAAGTATTGGGAATTAAGTCATTATGGAATATTTGTCTTTGCAAGTATAGTGTGATTTTGTGGAAGCAAGAAGCGCCCGTTTGAGGTTCCTGGTCTTGTATTAAAAGGGAAAGCCACATTGAGCTGCAAGGGTGCAGGGGTTAATAAATTGGATATAATCAGCCAAGCAAGTTTGACAAATTCAGAGAGGTGCAAGGAAGCTGAGGGTGTATGCAAGGAAGTGTTTATGATGTCTGACCTTAGAATTTAAGCTGAGTGAGGAAGGGAAAAGGCATCAGAAGAATGTAGGGTAGTGACAAGTGGGTAGGGTCGCTTTTAACATAGTAAAAAATTAGAAGCATTATGTTTGGGAGCATTATTTTCCCTATATGAATCAGAGTATTCATTCCTGATATAATCTTTTATATCAGCTCACTAGATTAAAGTGTACTGTATATAATAGGGCGAGCTTAATTACCAGCATGTCTCAATGCTAGGCATAATTTATTATAAATAAATTTAAATCTTTTTATAAATCTATATATTTAAATGGGCAGGTAGCACAATTCCTAACTTATCTTAAGTTCAATAACCAATCACAAAAAATTTACAGATTGTATTCCTACATTTTAATCATTTGTAATTATGTTTTTCATTTCATTTGTTGACACTTCCACGGTTTTAAATATGGCAACATTTGAACTATTATATGTGTGTGCAGCATATAAATTGAATTTTCCAACTCTAAAATTATATTCATTCCAACTCTAAAATTATATGCATTATCATCATAAAGTGGATGTATCCTTTTTGTATATAAAATATATGCAAATAATATATTACCCATTATTTATGTGTAATCAAAACACCTCTCTACTTAGATATGTCAATATAAGTCAGGGTTAAATATTGCCTCACTCAAGAGGGTATATTCAATTTGCAAGGTGTAATAGGTCTAACTGTAAATATATCTATCTCTGTCTATCTATCTATCTACCTACCTATCTATCTGTCTATCTATATCATTACCTATATTTCATCCCTGTATCTTTCACTGATTATTCATTTCTCTAAGAGCAAGTGGGAGATGTAGTGACAGTCACATCAATAAATTTTCTGCTCATATCCCCTTCTTATAAAGATCAAAGGAAAAAAAACAATAGCTTAACTCGGTGTTTTCCAATGGTGGATATGTGACAGAATCACTTGGTAAGCTTTTAGAAAATACTGATGTCTGGGCTCGGTCTCAGACCACTAAAGCAAAATACCTGGAGTGAGGTGGGTGGAGGTATGGGCTTCTGCATTTTCTTTTTGTAAAGCTCCTCAGGTGATCCTAATGGGCAGCCAGGGTTAAAAACCAATAGCGTAAGGAAAATGTTTAGTATTTCTCTAATCATGTTGAACTGCGCTTCCTTTAGCAGAGATAATTAGAGAGTAACAAATGCAAATTACACTTGTTACCTCCCTGGTTTCATAACTACGGAAAGTGTCATTAGTAACATACCTACATAAAAGATATTAGAAATATATGATTCAAATGATCTTTTCGAGAAGGCAAAATCAATGCTTTACAGCATCCCGTTCTTTGTTGGAACAGAAAACTGTGATAGACAAAGTGAGCTTATGCTGAGCAAACAAGATCAGTTTTACAGAAACTCAACCAGATTAGAAATTGCTCCCTGGCGCACAGAGCTTCTCTACTAGAGTGAGAATTGCGTATAACTAAGATTATGATTCCTCCTAAAGAAGTCCTTCTTTACATTAAAATAAGGATAAGGTTTGATTTTTTTTGAGTGGATAAAGAGTTTAAAATATGGAATCATATCCTATTGAATAAGTTTTGGATTTTCTACCTGAAAAATGTATTGTTTTACAGATTTCCGTCTTCCTGCTTGGCTTTTTTTTTTTTTTTTTAATCCAGCCAACATTGACTCTTAGGAAATTTTGATCAGTTTTATAACTTTGATATTTATTTGGTTGACTTTTCAATCAATATTACAGAGCAAAATTCTATTTGCAATAAGAAAATATAAGTTTTCAATATCTATTCAACTAGATCAGCACGAAACTTGTGAAAAGTTGTCCCTTTTTGGGCAAAAAGTGCAGCTTCTTTCTCCTTTTTGCTAAAGGAATTAAAATTGTGCCTTTTCATGTTTTGAATCAATGCCACTTTTTGGTGAAATACTGTTGCATCAAACTTGATGATTTCAGTTAAAAAACCCTCATCTAAAATGAGGAGATTTGGAACTGAGAGCAGGAGATAAAAGGTAGTAAATGCATCAATAAACTGGACCATATCGTATTCTCTCCCCTATCCACCTTAAACATGGCTGAGCGTTTTACCTATCTCCTGGGTAATCCAGCATCTAAATGAAATTGTTTTCATTGATCATGGCCATAAACCAAGGAAACTTGGACGTGTAGAAATTTTTATCTAGAATTTTCTTCAATTGCTTTTTTTTTAGTCGAGTTTATTGCAGTACTAATTTATAACCTGTAAAATTCATTCTTTTTAGAAATAAAATTTGTTGAGTTTTAACAAACATACAAAGTCGTGTAACCACCACCAAAACCAAGGTGTAGAATATTATCCTACAAAAGTTAGAGATGTCCACACGAGTCAGGGTTGCATCACCCTAAAAATGTTCCCTTTTCCCCTTTGTAATTATTTTCCTCCCACCACCCCGAGGCTCTGGCCACCACTAACCTGATTTTGTTGCTATATTTTTGCCTTTATCAGACTATCACATAAATGTAATTATAGATATAATTTTTTGCATCTATCTTCTTTTATTTAACGTAATGCCTTTTAGGATCATCTATGTCATTACATGTATCAGTAGTTTGTTTCTTTTCATTGCTGAGGAATCTACTATTGTCACAAGTAACTTGTCTGTTCACCAGTTGATGGACATTTGAGTTCATTCTAATTTTTAGTGTAATGAATAAAGCAATGTAATAAAATTTTGGTGTAATGAATATAAATATTTGCATACCGGTCTTTGTGTGGGCATAATGTTTTTATTTATCTTGGAAAACATACTAGAAATATTATTAGCTTGTTAGTAAGTCTACATTTTAAGATTAAGGGACTGCCAAAGGTAAAATATTGAATGTCCCTTTAATAAAACCGAATTACTAAATCCATAATTTTAACATTATCCTAGTATAGCAAATTTTACCAGCTCCAGTACTCTCCAAACCAATTACCATCTTTACACTTAAAAATAAACTACAAAAATAGGATACATAAACAAAGCTAAAAAGTGATATAAAGCCTACTAAAGAAATTGAAAGTAGAACAAATAGGAAGAAAAATAGGACATAAAGAAGTTATATAGCAACACAAAAACACATGGGATAAAAATATTAAACTGATTTGTGTGAAATGAATAAAGAGGAGGAATTTAATTAAAAGTAGACTCTTGAATTCTTTCACATTTATCATCATAGCAGTTTTCATGGCTATGAAACAGACTGTTTTTACTTCTGGCTTAAATAGAAGTTCAAGTATGCTCGGTTCCTATGTAATACAGCTTTGCAGTCATTTGGTATTTTTGTTAATTGTATTTGCATTTGATTTGGTGAATGTGTTTGAATGTCAGTAGACATTTGCACATCACCTTTAGGCTTAAAGAAAGAAAGTGCTTTTACAACGGCCTGATCAGGATAGTTAATCAGTTTAATTTAGAAAATGCATCTCTACAGAAATTTCTGAGCTATCTGTAGAAATAGGTTGTTAAACCAAGGACAGGTCAAGATCAAATTATAAATTGTGAGAAATATCCTCAGTTCCTCCCTAAACTACCCTGGTGATAATCCCTCAGGAGAGCGGAGATTCCATGTTCAACAAACATAGCCTCTATCAAAATTCGCCCTGAGGAAATTTCTAAAACATGTTTGTACTATATGAAGATAGAATCATGTATAAAACTTGACTAATAATTTACACATAAATCAAAAGCAACTGAACCCTACCTGACTTCACATTTCAGAGGATCTGTTATGAAATATGTGTTTAAACAAGACCTAAATCTTCATTAAGCAAAATGAAAGATTCTTTATTGTTGGGAATTTAAACATTATCCAACAGAACTGAGTGGTTCTTTTTGTTTTGTTTTTAGTTTGGGATTTTAGAAGAGCTGTACCAATATCCCTGAAGTTTTAGCAGCCATGTAAAAGATTGTTCCACATGTGGGTTTGGCTGACTCTAGAAGTGGTGTTTCTTAAGTTTCCATTGGAAAATTCACTTTAGGAAAAATCCACTTAGTGAGAGTCTCTTTAGATAAAAAGTGTAGCCTTTAACCGGTGTCTTACCTCGTAGTCTCAGCCATTTATTGAGAGAGTGATACTACACAAAGGGCACGATCTGCTCACTGCAAGACAAAAGCCGATCATCACGAGGCAAGATGGTAATGGAAATAGGGCATTTAATAAGTGATAAGCTAGCAAATTGGGAGATGGAGGACCAGCATCCTAAAGAACCATCTTAAGAGGGATACAGAATCTTGAAGCAGTTATATAGGCCAGTGGGTTGTAGGGGAGAGGGTTAGGAATGTTGACCCTCTGATGTTACAGCCTGGGAGTTGCCACACCAGATTTTTCAGTTGCATAGAATC